GGAGGGGAAAGGGAGAGAGAGAGAGAGAGAGAGAGAGAGAGAGAGAGAGAGAGAGAGAGAAACATCAATGATGAGAATCATTGATCAGCTGCCTCCTGCACAACCCCTATGAGAAATCAAGCTCGAAACCTGAGCATGTGCCCTTGACCAGAATTGAACCTGGGACCCTTCAGTCTGCAGGCCGACACTCTATCCACTGAGCCAAACCAGCTAGGGCCACTAAAATTCTTTTACAGTTACAGGTCTACAGTCTCTCAGTGAAAACCCTGAAGGCCAAAGATTTCAGAGTCCAGAATTTTTTGAATCTTAGGAGGGTGCATGCTATGTTACCTAACACCCTCAGTAGTGTCTGGGCCAACATCCCATGGTCAAATGCATTAATATATATGCAGTGAAATATATGGTCATACAAAGAAGGTTGAATAAAAACTTCAAATGGCCAGTGCAGGGCAGATTTTACTGTCAGATAAATTACCAAAAAATGTAGGGGTTTCAGAGTTTTTTGGATTTGGGAAATGTGGATAAGGGATGGTACACCTGTAAGGCTAACAACTTGTACCATTCACCTGGTCCTTAGGATGTGTTGTTTCATGGCCTGTCTTGGATGGGCAAATTCTTGTATAACTATTTTTTATTTTTTAAATGTTTTTTGTTGATTTTAGAGAGAGAGGGAGAGGGAAAGAGAGATATCAATAGCAGCCTCCTGCACACACCCTACCAGGGACAAGCCCGAAACCTGGGCCTTTACCCTCACCTGGAATCTAACTGGCAAGCCCTCGGTGCATGGGACAATGCTCAACCAACTGAGCCACACTGGCCAGGGCATTTGGCTCTTTATTTTATTTTATTTTATTTTATTTATTTTTACGTATTTTTATTGCTCTCAGAGAGGAAGGGAGAGGAGAGACAGAAACATCAATGATGAGAGAGAATCATTGATCGGCTGCCTTCTGCACACCCCACACTGGGGATCAAGCCCACAACCCAGGCATGTGTCCTTGACCGGAATCGAACCTGGGACCCTTCAGTCCTCAGGTCGATGCTTTAGCCACTTGAGCCAAACGAGCTAGGGCCATTTGGCTCTTAGATTGTCCAAGTGTCTCTCTTGCCTCCCTAGCAAGATGAAGAACCCCTTTCTCGGGGGCAGGGCCCATGCAACTCTGGTGTCCACACAGAACACTTAGCAAGCAAAGACTCAAACTGCTGGAACAAGCACATGTTTCTTTCCCTCCCACCAAGTGTCCTGGCTTGTCCTGAGGTGTGCAACCATCAGCTGTTGGGAGGCAGAACAGGGGACAGTCAGTTAACCAGGGGTGGCCCTGGGGCAGGTGGGAGGAGCAGTCAGAACCAGTGCAAGCAGCCCAGAAGCCACAGATCAGGGTGAGGGGTGGCCGAGACTCCTGGCTCAGCATTCCTCCTCTGGAAGCATCCCTGTCCCAACCAAGTGACTCTCACACCTTTCTTCTAGAAGCAGGGCTATACCCTGAACTTAAACCTCACAAGCTATAAAAACGCATACAGTTTTCTTGAAGCTACATACCTGAGTTAGTTTCCTGTAGCTGCTAATTACCATAAACCGAGTGCCTACTAGTAACAACAGAAGTGTGTTCTCACTCCGTTCTGGAGGCCAGAAATCTGAAGTCGGTATCCCTGGGCCGGAATCACGGTGTCAGCGGGACCGTGCTCCCCTGGAGGCTCTAAGGGGGAATCTGTTCCTTGTCTCCTCCAGTGGCTGTCAGTGTTCTGTGGCTCGAGGCTGCCTCTGACTTCTCATCACCTCCTCTGTGTGTGTACTCAAGTCTCCGCCTATCTCCTTCGTGTAAGACTACACACGATTGCACTTAGGGCCCACCCAGCTAATCCAGCATTATCTCTAGGGCTCAAGATTCTTAACTTAATCATATCTGCAAATATTTTTGCAGATAAAGAACATTTACAACTCCCAGGGGGTAGAACCATGTGTCTTAGGGACCATTTTCCAGCCTACCACAGTCCCAGGAAGGGTAATAGCCCTTGGATTTAACCTTATTTGGGGAGAATTATGATAAAAATCTAGCTTTGTCAATGGCCAGGCTGGTGCCTATGATGCTGAGTATTTTTTCTTTTTCTTTTCTTTTCTTTTTCCATCACCATTTATCCCCCTTATACCTTCTTCCACCTCCCCGATCCTCCTTCACAATCACCACACTGTTGTCCATGTCCATGAGTTCCCTTTTTTTCCTTTTTGCTCAATCCATCCACCTCACTGAACACCGCCCTCCCCCCACAACAGATCTGTCTGCCGACTCTCTAGGAGAAAGTATTTTTTCAATCTTTTTTATTGGGACATAATGCATAGAGAGAAAAGTATGCAAACACTGATATATCACAAGGGGAATGCTTGTGTAAACACTACCTGGGTCAAGAAAGAATGCACCCTGCCCCCCAGCTCCCCTTCCTGTCCCTCCCAATTGCCTCATCTTCTCCCCCAAAGTAACCCCATCATGGCTTTTATGACATCGCCCCGTTTTCTTTATCAGCCGTTCTACTTTGCTATTGTTTTTGAACCTTCTATAAATGGCATTGTACTGAGCGTCGTTTTGTCTAAGCTTCTTTCATTTCTCCCTTTTGTTGGTGATGGACATTCGAGTTGTTTTCAGTTGGGACAATTAGGAAAATTGCTGCTCTGAAGGATCTTGTATGTTTATGGATGCACATGGGCTCATACTTCCCTTGGGTACATACCTGAGAGCAGAACTGCATGGTCTTGCAATGGTCTCACTCTAGTGGATAATCTCAAACCACTTGCATACTTGGTACACATTCATCAAGACCCACTGGGTGTCCAGTCTGTGCATTTTGTTGTATGCAAATTACAACTAACAAAATAAGTCCTTCATTATACATTCCACAGCTTCAACCCAAGAAATCCTGACCACAAGTTCCAGCTCGACCAGGTTCTATCTCGGTGTCCAACACTTTGTAGTTATGGAGAAAGAGGAACGAGATCTGAAGGGAGAAGAGAGAAGCCAGAGGGAACCGCTCTGGCACCTTCTTACCTTGTCACATGTAGGAGAGACGGCCCCTCCCAAGAATACGGAGGCTCCACCTGTCCCAGCCAATAACACACACCTCTGGTCCATTCCTCACAGCTCTTAAAGATCTTAAGAACAGTGAATTAAGATAGTGGCTGTTTCCATTCATCTGTGGTTTCATTTTCATTAAATTTGGCCTCAATTACTATTTGGGAAGAAGTGCATGCATGCATATTGCTGAACTAAGATGTTCTTTCTAAAGTTCATTTTTAAAAAATCAGATTAAGTTACTCAATGCAATATTTGCTTCTCTCTCACTCCCAGGGAACAAATGTGACCTGTGGGAGAAACGGCATGTTCTGTTCGAGGATGCCTGCACGCTGGCTGAGAAATACGGCCTCCTTGCTGTTTTGGAGACATCAGCTAAGGAGTCCAAGAACATAGACGAAGTCTTCGTGCTCATGGCCAGGGAGCTGATCGCCCGCAACAGCCTGCAGCTGTATGGGGACGGCGCCCTGAACCACCTGCCCCTGGACTCCAGTCCAGTCCTTATGGCCCAGGTGCCAAGTGAAAAGACCCACTGCACTTGCTGAGTGTGGTCACCCAGCCAATAGCACCCACCAGAGGCATCGCTAAACCAAAGGGGGCGGGTCTTCTAGTGTCTGCTGGGTAGCATTTCAGACCCAAGTGTAGACTTGCCACTAGTTCTCAATCCTGGGTTCAGACCAGAGGCCACAACAGCTGACTCTGAGGCCAGGGGATACCACTGTCCTTTCCGATTTTGCCTTGGACCTAAAGGCACAGGGTTAGGAGGACAAGGTTTGCTCTTCTTCGTCTCTTTTCTGTCTTCCCAACCCTTCAACTATGTTTCCACTGACCTTTGCTTCTCACTTGAAGAAGAGGGTAGTGAGGAAAGATCAAAGAGGGGCGAGGATGCGTGGAACACTCCGGAACAGTTTAAAACAGCTTGGTCATGGGCAGATGAGAAAAAAGCCTGCAGTGATAAGCCAGAATGCCGTTAACATTTGCTTCCTGATAGTCACACCTCAGGGTTTTAGTTTGGGGAGCAAAGCCTTTTGATATAAAGACCATAAATACCTCTTGCCAAATGGTCAGGAGCCATGTGATGGAGACAGAACTGGATTTCACTTCATTCTATTTGGGCTGATGTGGGAGACGTCTACAGTTTCTTTCCAAAACACCACATTGGCTGCTGGATCAGAAGGCATTTCTGAATAGTAATTAATTTGGCTCACAGGTGAATAGCAAACCAATATTGACCTCACAGTATGGCCCTGGGCACACCATGTACCTGTAGCACACTGGTTTTTCTTGTTTTTTTTCTTAAATATATTTTATTGATTTTTTACAGAGAGGAAGGGAGAGGGATAGAGAGTTAGAAACATCGATGAGAGAGAAACATCCATCAGCTGCCTCCTGCACACCCCCTACTGGGGATGTGCCCGTAACCAAGGTACATGCCCTTGACTGGAATCGAACCTGGGACCCTTCAGTCCGCAGGCTGATGCTCTATCCACTGAGCCAAACCAGTCAGGGCCACACTGGTTTTTCAAAGTTCCCCCCGATGGTTGTTGTTGAACTACATCTTACAGTCACAGTAAGAACCACAAAGGCCTGTCCAACCACATCAGCTCCAAAAAAGGGAAATGTCTCTGGGAGCTCTCCCCGGGCCCAGGTGAGTGCCCACAGGCATTTCTCATCGATAGCAGCACAATCGATAGGCTGAGACCTACCTTCACGTTAATGGCTCACACCAATTTCCCTTCATTTCTCTGCACATCAGTCTCAACCAACACTTTGAAAACCTCATCAGCATCTAGGGTTATGCACTCAGGATTATCTGGAATTGAAATGTTCCTACCAACAGGTTAGACATGTGAAAACGGGGTCGCCTGAACACCAGGAACCTGTGATTAACCAGCTGGGCTTCTGTTGAAATGATGGGGCTGTGACAGAAACCCTCGAGGACACGAAAGGGCCCCGTGTGGAGCAGCTTCACTGGATTCGGGCGCCCAAAGGTCGGCTCCAAAGAGGCAAGGCTTTTCCGAAGCTGAGCGGTCTGGTTACCTGGCCTGGGAACCAGCTCAGGCAGGCTCCTCTCTGTAGCTGTGGTCTCAGAAAGCTACATGTTAGCTCAGTTCTGGCATCTTTCTCACACTCCCAAAGCTGTGTCGTTGGTAACAAGTTATGTGAAATTAAGTTACAAAAGAGACATTTCAGAAGAATAAAAAGATTGTGTCTCCATATTTTGTTTGCCAGTGTCAAGTACATTTCCATGTGTGCAAAAATCTGTTATTTCATTGTTCAGACTGTTCCTGAACTTCTTACCCACTCTATTACTAGTAGTAATAGGAATCTATATCTACACTAATAAAAGAGAAACATGGTAATTGGCGTACGACCGCTACCCTTTTCATTGGCTAATCAGTGAGTATATGCAAATTAACTGTCAGCCAAGATGGCGGCCGGCAGCCAGGCACTGAAGCGAGCACTGAGGCTGCTTGCTGCAGACTCCAACGTTCCCCGCCTCACTTGCCAGCCTCTCAGTTGCAACTCTAAGCAACTATATACTATGTTGCAAATAAGAAGCTAAACAAAACCCCAGAAAAGGGCTTCCATTCAGCCGGGCTCGGACCGCAACATTGTATCTATGTTTTCAGCAGCAAGGCCTCAGAGCTAAAGCTGGCCCAGAAAAAAAAAAAAAAAAGAGAAGAAAACAAGGAGCGGTTGGAAGCTTCAGTCACTCGCCAGCCGGAAAACAGCCCTCAGCCCCTCACCCAGACAGGCCAGGTACCCCAGTGGGGACCCCCACCCTGATCCAGGACACCCTTCAGGGCAAACCAGCCAGCCCCTACCCATGCACCAGGCATCTATCCTATATAGTAAAAGGGTAATAGGCCTCCCAGCACCGGGATCAGCGGAGCAGCAAGGCTCCCAGCACCGGGATCAGCATGACAAGGGGCAGCGCCCAAACCCCCTGAT